GTGGTGTGGCCATCCCCCCTGGGGGGGGGTGATTTCTCACTTTCTGTCTCTCTGTCTCTCTCTGTCTGTCTGGCAAGCACACGTGCCCTATAGCAAAAACCTTTCCAAAAAAAAAAGAACCTTTCAAAAAATAGAAAAAAGAAAGAAAATCATCCCAGGCAGGGGCTGGCAGGTGGTGTGGTAGTTAAGGTGCTGGATTCCCACATGGTTGACCATGGTTCAGGTCCTGGACCTGGCAGCTTGCTTTCTCACTTTCTCTTTCTTTCCAGTCAATCTAACAAATAAAATAATAAAGATTAAAAAGAAAGAAAAAAATCATCCCAGGCGTATGTGTGCGTGTGCCCAAAATCCCAGGAGGAGAACAGAGGAGAAGCGATTTCGGCATGGCCATCCCCTCTGGGGGATGATTTTACGCTTTCCCTCTCACTGTCTCTCTTTCTCTCAGGTGAACACACAAGCCTTATAGCAAAAACCTGATAAAAAGAAAAAAAACAAAAAACAAAAAGATTGTGCAGAAGTAGAGTGCTCACGCCAGTCAGTGGCTATCAGAGGTCTCCCTTTCTCTCTCTCTCTCTGACAAGCCCAGTGGCTTCTCTGGAAGGCAGATGCGTCCTCATCCGGAGGGAGCTAGCGCCTTGCGAAAGTTCTAGGCGGAGCATAGGTTGGACAGTGAAAGGCCTAGGTATCCGCAGTTGCACCTGCTAAGTTCTGATGGTACCCAACAGCTGCTTCGGAGCCTAGGGAGGCATGCTGGTGGCCCAGGCCATTGGAGGGGTGTTGCTTGGGAGCAAACCTGGAAGAAAGGTGCTTCACGCAGAAGCAGACCAGCCCAGCCCCAAACCGGCTGAGACCGCATTCCGAGGACTAACTGGCCCGGCCCTGTTCTGTGTGTCTGATGTTTCCTGGTGTTTTGGGCATTTTGGGCCAAATTCCTGATGCGACTTGCTGGGCAGGTCGTGAGCTTTTGGATTGGGGAGCAGGGTCTGGCCCCGCTCTGGGTCAGAGGATGGACTTTGAGCAGGGAACAGGAGGGGCTGCTACTCTTGGGGCTGAATGAGGGGAGGTGACTCAGCTCAATGTATGCTTAAACCCTTGGAATGTGACCTGTTACCTGAGCCCGGCCTGCCATGGCGCCCCTGGTCTTTACACAGATAGAAGGCTTTCCTTGTCTAGTGTTCCCTGGGCATGACACCTTTTTCTCTCTCGTTTGTTTGTTTGTTTGTTTATTTATTTATGTTTTTGCCATAGGGCCCATGTGCTTGATGGAAAAAGAGAGAGAGAGAGAGAAAGTGAGAAATGATAAGGAGGGACGGCCATGCTGCGATCCCTGCTCCTCTATTCTCCTCTCAGGATTTGGGGCACACACGAATACATGCCTGGCTTGAGTTTCAAACCACCAGGTCTGGGACTCAAACCGCAGTCAGCCGCGTGGAAGTCCAGTGCTTTCACCACCATACCACCTGCTGGCCCCTCACTCTATTTAT